TCTCTCTCTCTCTCTCTCTCTCTCTCTCTCTCTCTCTCTCTCTCTCTCAAATATCTAAATTTAAAATTAAAATATCTAAATTTACTCTAAATGAAACTGGCAACCCATAAATGCATCATTGAAGCGATTCCACAAATGTACATATTACTAGATATTTCTATACAGGTAGTCCTCAACTTACAACAGTTCATTTAGCGACCATTCAAAGTTGACAACCGCACTGAAAAAAGTGACTTACGGACCATTTTTCACACTTACACCCATTGCAGCCTCCCCATGGTCACGTGTTTTACATTTGCATGCTTCACAAATGACTCACATTTATGACGGTTGCAATGTTCCAGAGTCACATGATCGCCTTTTGGGACCTTCTGACAAGCAAAGTCAATGGGGAAACCAGATTGACTTAACAACCGTGCTATTAATTTAACAACCGCAACAATTCACTTAACAAACGCGTTGAGAAACATCATAAAACGGGGCAAAAACCCCCTGAACAAATTTCTCACTTAATTAACAGCATTAATTTGGGGCTCAATTGTGCCCTCCCTATGCATGCCAGTGGCCAAGCTCCTAAATCTTGATCACATGACCGCGGGGATTTTTCAACGGTTATAAGTGAAAGGACCCAGTTGCATTTTTTTTTCAGTGACCTTGTCACTTTGAACGGTCACTAAACAAATGATTGTCAGCCGAGGACTGCTTCTGCTGCATATAATCCGAAAAGAAATAACGAACGTTCTCCTGTTGACAGAAGTACTTTTCTTTTTTTAATGAGCTCCTGGATCGAGTTTAATGATGTTTGATTACATGTTTAAACGCCGCTATTCTTGAGGTCCAAGGTGACACAAAGACTCCTTGACACTTGATATTTATGTGTGCCATAAAGCAAAGAAAGGTAAACAGTGAAATCGGACGAGAGCCTTGGCACGTTCGTGGAGATGCCCCTGGCATTACTCAAGAAACCCAGAACAAAGTTCGTGTGTGTGTGTATAAAACACATACTGTTTCCTTGAAAATGCAACCTACCCTGAAAGTAAGTCCTAGCTTAATTTTTACGCGTGCACCCAATGTAAGCCCTACCCCCAAAATAAACCCTAATTAAGCTCTGGAATGGACGGGTAAAAATTAAGCTAAGGTGAGGATGGGGAGTGGAGCTACTTACCTTTGGACAGTTGTAGCCAGGCCTCGCACACCGCAACACCAGCCTGGCCGGCCCATTTCTTCTGCAGCCGGCAAGGCTGGCAAGGCTTTCTAAAGGCCTCTGTAGCTGATAATGAAGAAGCTCTGGATCGATCCAGAGGTCTGTTATCGGCTGCAGAGGCCTTCAGGAAAGCCTTGCCGGCCGCAGAAGAAGAAGTTCCTGAAGGCCTCTGACAGCGAAAAGGAGGCCGGGGACAATGCACACAAGTGAGGTTAGTCAGTGGATGACATCCCTGGAAAATAAGACCTGGTGCCTTTTTGGGGGGCAACAAAAAGTAAGACAGGGTCTTATTTTCAGGGGAAACACTGTGTGTGTATGTATATGTGTGTGTGTGTCTGTCTCTGTGTGTGTACACACACACACACACACACACTCACAC